TTATTTTATATATTTTTAAGCTCTGTTGTTTAGTGCATATACATTCAGGATCACTATATTTTTTGATGAATCATTATTTTATTATAATGTAACATCCCTCTTTGTCTCTGTAATAATTTTTCTCTGAAACCTACTTTATGCAGTGTTATTATACTACTCTGCTTTTCTTAGTGTTTGTTTGAAATATATCTTTTCCTATTTTGAAATTTTCTGTTAGAAGTGAGTTTGAAGTTTGATGTTTGCAGTGACTTTCTTATAGATAGCGATTTACTGACTGGAACTTATGCTATCTTTAAACTGGTATATTTATACTGTTTACATATAAAGTAATTATTGGTATATTAGAACTTAAGGGTCCAAATAATTTTTGACTAATGGGATTCTTATAATTGTAACCATTCAGCAATAACCTCAAACACAAGTCAAATGAACACAATATCATTTTACCACATGTAAAAGACAAGACTTAACCATTGTTTTAATAATCTGTGGATGACTCTAGAACTCAGTCAGATAAACTAATGTGATTACCATTTTTTTCCAGGAGAAGCTGATATCCAATATTGGAGTGCCTATAGTTTTTCTGTTTGTTTGTTTAGGAAAGGATGAATAAATTTATTTGTACACTTTAAGTGGGGATATTTGCAATACATATAACTAATGAAAGGCTAATTTCCAAAGAATTTATTTGCATCAGTAAGAAAAAAAATAGAAAGATGGGTCATGAATGTCAATAGGAACATTATAATAAAATAAATGAAAATGAACAATAATCATATAAAAAGATACTCAACTTCATTCCCCACCAAAGAAACATTCCAAATGCTGCAGTGCATACTACACACAAGGGCATTCTCATATTTTACCATATATCAGCCTTAAAGTCAGGCAGCTGACACTGAGCCATTACTACCATGGAATCCTCAGTGCCACTGAAAATTTCCAGTTGCCCTTACAACATCCTTTATAGCCACAGCATCAGTCCAGATCATGTGCTGCAAGAGTATCTATAGATTTTTTTTATAGCTATAGGTATAGCCAGCACCCGGTGAATGTTATGAAATATTAAAAAAGCTAGAAACCTTATCCCAATTAGGCAGTAGCCAAAGAGCTTGAAGTTAGTCATATTATTTCACAGAATCTTTATTTTGAAAAAAATGAAAGTCCTTCAATAAGAATATTTTCTTTCTGATTTATGTACATTTAACCATAAAGGAAAGTGACTGGAATTTTGGTTCAACAGATTGTTTATTGTTGTAACCTAACCACCCCAACTTCCATTTTATTTGAATAATTACCTTAAAAATTCATATCTTTTAAAAAAAATTAGTTATCAATGGAACTGTAGCCTGTTGTATCCCCCTAAGTTCCCTTTTCCTCCCAATCTGTGCTAAGATCCTGAGTTTACCTCAGACAGCATTAGAATAAACTAATAGTTTATTCAGATATTTTAAAGTTAATTGCTACCTACCAAGGTAAACACTTTGAAAAATAATATTTCTTTGGTCAAATTCAGTGTTTTAGGGGGTGTCTTCTCTGGATAATACCTCATATACTATTTTTTAAAATTATTTTTGATAAAATGTAGGCCCAACTTTCTGTCATGACAGCTTAGGAACCAACTTCTCAACTAAACTCCTAAAGTACAAGAAGTGAAATCAAGAATAAATAAATGGGATGGTATCAAACTAAAAAGTTTCTTCACAGAAAGGAAACAGTCAAGAATGTGAACAGAGAGAGCCTATGGAATGGGAGACAATCTTTACCACCTCCACCTCAGATACAGCATTAATCTCCAGGTTATACAAAGAACTCAAAAAACTTAACGCCAAATAAATAAATAACCCAATCAATAAATGGGCAAAGGTACTGAACAGACACTTCACAGAAGAAAAAATACGAATGATCAAAAAAGTATATGAAAAAGTGTTCAACATCTTTAGCAATTAGAGAAATGCAAATTAAAACTACACTGAGATTCTATCTCCACTCCAGTCAGAATGGTAATTATCAAGAATACAAGTAACAATAAATGTTGGCGAGGATGTGGGGAAAAGGTACACTCATACATTGCTGGTGGGACTGCAAATTCATGCAACCATTATGGAAAGCAGTATGGGGATTCCTTAGAAAACTTGGGATGGAACCAGCATTTGACCCAGTTATCCCACTCCTCAGTACATACCCAAAGGACTTAAAAATCAGCATACTATAATGATGCAACCACATCAGTATTTATAGTATCTCAATTCACAATAGCTAAGCTGTGTAACCAACCTATGTGCCCTTCAACAGATGGATGGATAAAGAAAATATGGTGTATATATACTCAATGGAATATTACTCAGCCAAAAAAATAATGACTTTAGGATTTTTGAGAGTAATAGATAGATCTGAATAGGATAGATCTGAAGACTATCATGTTAAGTAAAATAAGCCAGTCCCCCAAAACCTGGCTGAATGTACTAATGTTAGTAATATTATTTGTGGATACTAACATATACTAACACATAATAAGGAGCGGAGAGTGGGGGTAAGAATAGAAGTTTATTGGAGTAGACAAAGGAGAATGAAGGGAAGGGAGCAGGGATGGGAATAGGAAAGACAGTACAGTGAATCAGACATAACTTTCCTATGTTTGTATATGAATACACCACCAGTGAAACACACATCATGTACAACCACAAGAATAGGATTCTAATTAGAATAAGTTATATGTATGTATAATATGTCAAAATACACTCTGCTCTCATGTATATCTTAAAAGAAGAAATAAAAAATTATTTCTGATAGTTATAACCCATTACCACAAGGGAAAGTATAGTAATTTTTGGCTTTGATGGAGATGTGATCACAGTATCCAAATTATAGTTATTGCTATTTTTTTGGCTTTCTTTAGCTTAGTCTTCTTGATGCAGTGTCATATGTTCATTTTCATGGTTATGTTCCTATACTGAATTAGAGAACAGAGACCTTCTCTTTTTCATCTTTGTTTTCCCTGTTTTGTCATCTTGCATGAATGTGATCATCCTTTGGTTTGGTCAAGGGGTTGATTCTAGGACCCTCCTGTGGATACCAAAATTCATGGATGCTTAAGTCCTTTGTTCATAATGTCCTCGTATTTTGCATAAAATCTGTGCACATTCTCATGTATACTATGCACATTACTTATAATACCTAATAAATGTAAATGCTATGTTAGTAGTTGTTATATTGTACTGTGTAGGGAGTAATGACAAAAAGTCTATATATTCAGTACAGATGTAGTTAAAAAATGTTTCCTACCCACTCTTGATTGAATCTGCAGATGTGGTACCTGTTGATATACAGAGACCTTTTGTATATCAACAGAGAAAATGTATGTTCAAACTGAATGTATTGAGTGCATTTGGATGGAATATAGGACACTGAATTTAGGCCTTGCTTAAGCCAGAATCCTCTTTTGATAGACTAATTGAAGATTCACTATAATAATAAATGGAATAATAATGAATATAAATTATTTTGGATAACATTGCCTAAAGTGCATTTCAGTAACATTAAAGCTTTCACAAAAATTTAATGAGTATATATTTTAACTTATCATGGATTTGACCTAATTCTTTGTGTTAATTCCTATGAGGTATTCTGAAGGCATTTCATAGAAAAAGAAATATGAAATGTTCCTGCCACTGACTTTTCTTATTCAAACTAATCAGATATGCAAAAATAACTTAGTGATTACAAATGTCTAGGTGTAGCATGATTAGCTCTGAAAGTAAAGTCATGATCCTGTTTGAAATTTTCAACCTATGCTTTATTAATAAAAGAGTTAAAAATTCAGCAATAAGATTCTACCTAAAAAAAATAGAATGGGTGGGGAATGTCCTTGTATATTATAATTCTGTTTTTTGTTTACAGTATGAGCTATTAGGGAATGAATGAAGGTACTGGAATTAATTAATTTCTATTAAAATTCAGTATTATTACCATGAGATTATATCTTTCCTTTTTGTTTTATATGAGCTAGATTATAACTCAGTAAAAGTTTAGATTTTTAACCCATGTCTCTGTATTTAACCAAACACTAATTTTGGGGAATAAATGTTAAATTAATATCTATGTCTCTTTTGGGGAATAGTCTAGGGAAATAAAGCTTCCTACTACATTTTTTTAAACATTTTATTTTAGGCCCAACACTTGACATTAACTTAATTATTGGGTTTCCCTGTCATTGATTTGATTTTTTTCCTTTGTAATTTAATATGTTATAGTCCAGTTTTGAATGATGAATTTTCAGCCCAAAAATATCCTCTGGAATAAATATTCCTGTGTTTAATTCTGTAGTGTTTGTCGTCAGGGGGAGTAGGCAAGTTCAGATTCAGAGGGGTGCCACACTGGTAATTTGGCTCAAACTGCATGGGGAGAATAATCTTTCTACTAAAATGAAGCACAAGGATAAGTAATAACTTTTTATGCATGATAAGCATCAAAAATATGAACCTGCTGGTCTTTGCTTTTCATTTTTCTTTACCTCTGTCTTTCAGTGAGAACCTCCTGCAGGGTGCACACGATGTGATCAATAACTCAATAACTTTTTTCATGCAGTAATTATCTCCATGTGATATTATCTGAACACTGTTTTTCTTTATTACTCAAAAGATGCAGGAGATATTTATATAACCAGCTGATCCCATTTTGGATAAAGGTGCTTTGTGACAGCAGGGGAAATAGTTTATTTTAAATAGCCTTTTTAAATAAATGTTCTATGAAAAGCTTTTCCAGTTAATTTTCACTTACCATGAGAAAGTGATTACAAAAAACAACAACAACAACAACAAAAACACCCTACATTTAGTATAAGTTCTAAAACTTGTAGATTTTATAGTATGATAATCTAACTTCTAATAATTTAATTAAAACATTGAGCCATTTAACATAAACATAATTTTTTCTGATTCTTCTAAATCATTAGATATTTATTGAGGTATAAGCTAAACACACATAAATTCTCATTATAGGCAGAGATCCTTCAAGAGTCGCGGATGATGATCCCAGATTGCCAACGCAGGTTAGAAGCTGCATATACCGATCTTCAGCAGATTTTAGTAAGTAAAGATCTTTGTCTTGTATTTTAAAAAAATTTCATTCCAATTCATATCCAAAATTTTAAATATTTAACACTGAGAGCTAGGTGAAGACATTTTTATTCACCTACCCTTTACTAAAATAATTAGTTGACCTTAAATTGTTTTTGAGTTGTGACTCCAATAAAAATAGTTTTCTAGCATGTTTATTCTACTTAATTAAATAATTGCATTTGATAGCAGGTATTCATCAGATTAATATTGTCCAACAATATCTTGAATTGGTTTTCATGCAGAAAACCTATTTGGGGGCATATTAAGGATGTGTTGACCAGTTCGTTTTTTTCTTTTTGTGGTAGTATGGATTCACCTTAGGGTACGTAGTCTACCACTGAGCTCCATCCCCAGCCCTTTTAATTTAATTTTTATTTTATTTATTTATATTTTTTTGAGAAAGGATTATATATATATATATATATATATATATATATATATATAAAGAGAGAGAGAGAGAGAGAGTGTGTGTGTGTGTGTGTGTGTGAGAGAGAGAGAGAGAGAGAAAGCGAGTGTTTTGGGTGGACACAGTGTCTTTATTTTATTTTTATGTGGTGCTGAAGATCAAACCCAGTGCCTCATGCATGGGGCTTGCTAGGCAAGCGCTCTACTACAGAGCCACAACTCCAGCTCTTGAGAAAGGATCTTGCTAAGTTGCTGAGGGTCTCACTAAGTTATTGAGACTATCCTCAAACTTTGGATCCTCCTGCCTCAGCATCCCAAGTCAATGGAATTTGGGGTGTGTGCCACCATTGCCTGGCCTGTTTCAAATTTGGAAAGATCCTATGTTTCAAGTGAATCTGGGCCCTTATTTAAGGGATCTGGAATTCCTTCAGATTCAAACCTGAAATCAATTAGAGAAAAAAATAAATAAATTTGGAGGTGGGTAACACTGTTATATTATTGGTATAAATACTTTGTGATACAGTGGCTAACTCAGTTTATAAGTGATTGTAACTATAAGTAAAAGTTATTTCTTAATAGAGATAAAAACATAATACTATATACAAGCCATTGTTGTTGCTGTTTGATGATTGATGAATTCTGTCATTTCCTTTACTAATTTTATGTTTGTATTTCTTGAACTAATAACTTTTTTCCTGATTCATAGTTTTACCCTTATATGACAAAAATAAGGCTTTTTCAGTATGATTTGAAAAAGAATGAAATTTGTTTGACCAAAAATTAGGACTAACTCTATAGAAAAACAAAAAAGAAAAAAGTTTACATTTCACAGTAGTTTGAGCACAAAACTCCATATTTATCTATAAAAACTTTTTAAAGGCAGGATAATTCTTACCACAGAGAAAGCAGGAAATGATTAGTGTTAAAATACTACGTAAAAAACACCATTTGTATTCCTAACCATTAAATGCTGTAGCTGAGAAAATAATATAAAATTTTCTTAGGAAAAAAAGTGTCTTTGGATAATGTATTTGTATCTGAGGATATGTTCAACAGTATCTCTATCCTGTGCAAGCTTATATTTACTGACAGAATATAAACATATTTAAGGTGTAATGTACAAGTTTAAGAAATTCTTATCTCTAAGCTAAGCTAAGTGGATTCTCACTCATTTACTTTTTTTTTTTTTTTTTGGTTGTTCACGACATTACAAAGCTCTTGACATATCATATTTCATACATTAGAATCAAGTGGGTTATGAACTCCCATTTTTACCCCAAATACAGATTGCAGAATCACCTTAGTTTACACATCCACATTTTTACATACTGCCATATTAGTGACTGTTGTATTCTGCTACCTTTCCTATCCTCTACTATCCCCCCTCCCACTCATTTACTTTAAATTTTTATATTAAATATATATTTTATTGCCTCTTTTCTATAATAACCAAAAATCTCCATCTTTTATTGACCTGACATGAATTGTTGACCATAGTTTCATTTTAAAATAAAAAAAAATTTTCCAATGTATAATTCAGACAATATTGTTTCATTTGTCTGTTATCATTATAATATATCAGTAAAAATGTCCTATATGTCAGTATCTTGGAAAAACTCAATCTTTAAATATGAAAAGATGAAAGATGTATTTTGTTTCCTTTAGTGTGAGATATGTAATCTTCATTAACAAGTAATTACTTTTCTAATTCAAATGTTGTATTTAACTCTGATGTGACACACCAGTAGCTGTCTTTACTATTGTGAGTAGTTGGAGAATTATTTTGGCCTGAATGTTATCATATTTGTAGCACATTAAAAAGCCCTCCTTTTTGGCTTTTAATCCATTTTTAATAAGAATCTCTTTTGCACAATGATGTAATAACAAAATGAGAGTAAAATTTTTCTTTAAAATTTTCTGAGTTTTTATTTAATTATGATAGTTTTTTATGATAACTGTATTATTAAATGAGACTAGGTCAGGCACAGTGGCATACGCCTGTAAGGCTCGTGTTGAGTGCCCCTGAGTTCAATCCCTGGTACCCCCACCAAATAAATAAAATTAAATTAAAATAAATGAGAATATATTATATGAGAATTTATAGTGGAAGAACACCAAGCTTTTATTTCTTCTCTTACCTTGTTATAAAAAGAACAGAACTGTGATATATTTAGAAGAGGATTGGTATCATTTTTCTTTAATTTTTATGCTTTTTATGAAGGGTGTGGAATATTTGAATAAATAACAAAGTAATGAAATTTGAGAGGAATAAGCCTAATTTTTTACTGTATTTCATTTCAGGAAACTGAAAAAGACTTGGAAGAAGCTGAGGAATATAAAGAAGCACGTTTAGTACTGGATTCAGTAAAGTTAGAAGCCTGAAACTTTTCTGTACAGGGTCCATTCTATAATTCATTATTTTGACCACTGCTGTGTTCAAGAAGTATGAGAATGTGATTCTTTTATTAAGTTGCATACATTTTTATTTGCATATTTTAATGTGTCAAATAAATGAGTCCACCTTATAAAATTGTTTTATTTCGTACTTTCCAAAATTAACTTTTTGTCATTAAATCAAAAATTCTTGATAGATAATTAAAATTTGTGAGTTTCCATCTGAAGTTTATATATTTGGCTTCATAAGCATAGATTGAGTTATAAATAGGATACTGTGATTTTAGATAAAAATCCAAATTTTAAGCAATTTTGAATAGACCACAATTCCCTAATAAGAAAATAAGAATTATCTGTGGATAGGGCCTCGTATACTTATTCCTTCACCATGAAAGTGTAACATTTCCATTACTCTAAACTAATTTGAGAAAATTTAAAAATTTTTATATCTTTATGAATAATGAGGAATTATATTTTAAAAGAATATAATAACTGATGTGCTGGAAAGTGCTTAAATACTCTTCAAAAGGGAGGGGAACCTCTGATTTGTGACTTTTGCTGATTTCTGCATTGTCAATACTACTACTGTGATTGATTTCAAGATACTGACATGACCTCTCTGAACAGAGGTGGCAGGATACAAGCCAACTGCAACATTTGCTGGCTTTAGCCAAACCTTGATTATCTTGATTGACTGGAAAAGAAATATCATTTTGTCACAAAATATTTTCCCATTACATTTGTAAACCCATTACTTAATCATTTGGGTTTACTTTCCAAAAATATATGACGACTCATTTAGTTTTCTAGTATACCTAGAACATGTGTATGAATGAACCTTGTATCACCAGCCTAACATAAACATTGAAATAATGAACCATAATAATATTAATAGTATTTAAATTTTAAAACTCGTAATTGGAAAAGAAAACTTGGAACTCTGCTGCTATAAAATACTTAACAGTAGTAGTATTGTTGGTCTGATTTTGGAAGTTTAAATGATTACTAGAAACCATGGCATATATTTGTTGAATCTGTTCATCAGAGAAGAGAAAAATAATATTCTTTCCTAGTGTTATATCTAAAGGAAAGATACCTCTTATAAAGCATAGAATGTTTCACTTTAAAAAAAAAATTTATCTGTTGATAGACCTTTTTTTTTTTTAATTCATATGTGGTGCTGAAAATTAAACCCAGTTCCTCACACATACTAGGCAAGCACTCTGCCACTGAGTCATAACCCCAGCCCCAGAATGTTTCACTTTTAAAATTTATTTATATATTCCAAAAAGTTACTTCACTGGAGAATAACATGTCAGGTATATTTCTAAATTCAAATGTTATCTTAAAACATCACATGCTATTTTGAAAGTATTTGGGGTGAGAAGAAGAAGAGTTGAGAAAATTAAAACTATGATTAATTACAATGTAAAATTTAATACTGGGGCTCAATATGAGAGATCAGAATATCAAAAGACTTGAAACTCTCTAGATTATTTTGCAGTTTATATCAAGCACCAGAACAATAAGTTGCCTTTTGTGGGGTGGGAGGAGGAGCATATATTTAGTTTTCAAATAGAATTTCATCTAAAGAAAGTATTAATTTTTTAAATGTATAACATCTCATTTCTTCTCTCTACCCAATTTATATATATATATATATATAATAATGTGTAATAATATATAGTGTATATATAAATATATCATAAATGTATATAAAAATGTATATAAATATGTTATATATTTATATATAAATATATACACATATATATTATAGCAAATGGTTATTTGACTGATTAAAGCTTTATGAAAACAGAACATTAAAAACAAATGTATTTTTCCTGGAGAAAAGAAATTCTGCAAGGAATTTTGGAGCCAGCTGACTCTTGATCATTGAAAAAATTACTTTCCTACCAAAAAGCCAAGGAAAGAAGAAATCAAGGGGCTGGGATTGTGGCTTAGTGTTAGAGTGCTTGCCTAGCATGTGCAAGGTCCTGGGTTCGATCCTCAGCACCACATAAAAGTAAAAAAATAAAGATATTGTGTCCAAGTACAACTAAAAAATATTTTTAAAAAAATAAGAAGAAATCAATGAGCAAGTAGATGAAAAGAAATATATCCTTAGATAATTCCTTTCTCAACTACAGACTTTTATGCTAGATTTCTCTGCAGGTATTAATGAGAAGTACAAGAAGCTTGACATTCTGTGAAGGTGTTATTTCTGGGAATTTTTGACACATTTTACTTCTACTTCATGACCATCAAGAGGCACATTAAATTAAGAATAGTTGTAATTGAGTCTGTGTTAATTTATTTTTAAGCTTTTATTTAAAATCTTACCACTGTGTAACAATTGGTAGAAATTGCCCCAACACACCTAATCCCCAACCAACTTATAGTAATCACTAGATTAACATTAATAGATTGAGTGAAAAGGAAGACCATCTCTAACCTCTAGAGTGAGATAAAGAATGCCAAAAAGGATTCCATCACCTCACTAACACACTTAGTGCCTGCTTTTCAGACTGTTTTGACTACAAACAACAATAAGAAACACATTTTCCATTGTTACCCAGTACATACATATGTGTGTGTGTTTGCATGCATGCTTAAGCATACACATGTGTACATAAATATACACACACATATATATTGCCTCACAGTTTTTTACTGTTTCATATTTTAAAATAGTAATTATGACCACTAGTTGATCTCACTACCTGTGAAAAATACTGCTCTAAAACAATAATTATTATAGTTATAAAAATTACCTATATACATTCCAACTTGCAGGTATCAAAGCAATTGACTCCGTAAACACACTGCAGATATAAAGTATCATGGTTAAGTGTAATCACTTAGCATTTATAATATGCCCTCAAGTCTTTCTCTTTAAAAATTTTTAGCTGTAGATGAATACAATACTTTGTTTGTTTTTATGCAGTGCTGAAGATCAAACCCAGGGCCTCACATGCTAGACAAATGCTCTACCACTCAGCTACACCCCCAACCCATGCCCTCAATTCTTGCACAAATAGAATGGCTTCCATAAGAATACAAGGAAAACAAAGGCACAAGTGACAGACACACATAATAAACCTGTATATGTACAGAAAAAGTCACATCATTTCTATACAGGAGTACAAAGGACAAAGAAATAAAGATAATCAGGTGCAGAATGAGTTGAGTTACCAAATCCAGACTGGTTTTAATGTCATTGAAAGCATTCGAAAGTCCTGGCATCTTCGCTATATATTTTTGGCTTATGAGATTAGTGCTAGTACATCAAATTACTATTCCCTCAGTGGTCCTGGACGGAAGCTTTCTGGCTGATCTTTTGGCACATTAACATTGCTGAATGAGTATTAATGTCCCCAAAACTAGATTTTGTTGCATGTGGATGAGTCATGTGAACAGCTCCTTGGGAAGAAATGGGACTTGTGGGGAGGGAGAAAAAAGCATACTGCTAAAATAAGCAAATGTTTATTTCATGAGTAATGAAAACTGGTCAGAACAATATATTGTAATGTTCCTTTAACATTTCTCAACTTTCTGATCAGCAACATTGAAAGCCTAATATTTAAAAATTGTCTTTATGCCTATACCTGTGCACTGAATCTCTTCCAAATTGAGTAGTCAAATCTGTTTAATCTAAATCACTTTGCAAACTTCATTACTTTACTTGGCTTTTAAAAAATCCTATCAAATTTAATAAGGACATATCCTGCAGCTGGTTATCACTTAAATCTTATTATTTGGTCATTTAGATAAACCAAGGACAGATTAATCCTTTCTTTGATGGCGAATTAGGGTCTTTAAATGTCAGTGGAAACTTGACATGTATGTGAGAGCAAAAGCTGTGAAGCGTTTGATATTAAAGGGTTAATCAGATCATTTAGTCCTTGAGCTCCTTTGAGTGCTTTAGCTGGAAAGAAATTGAATGGTTTAGAAATGGTGTACTATGAAACAAATTATAAGTGTTAGTGTACTTGAAATTTTCAAGAGTGCTTCATAAAAATCTACATGTACTCCACTATTCGTCTTAGGGCTCTTACAATATGAGAAGTATTTGTTGAGGTATTGGTCTGTCACACAGAAAGGTTTATTAATTTATGTTACAGTAGATCTGCACCTTTCTTACATTTTGTTTTGTGCTTTCTGTTGGCTGTTGGATAGTTGACAAGGTGCTTTCAAAGTTTTGAGGAGATACATTTTCAATATGTCACAAGAGGTTGAATTTTAATGCACAAAGATCTCTTTCAAATTTATAAGAAAAAATCTCCAGTGTAAAAAGTAGACAAAGGTTAAAAAATACTTCACAGAAGAAACACAAATGCATCATTTAAAAAATATTCTACTCATTTTAAAAACAGTGAAGCAGAATTTTTTTTTAAAAGATAATGAACACCTGTCTATTGGCTGGGTGTAATGACAGATCAACCAGTGAGGTTAAGATTAGAGGAAAAAATGGGGAAATATATTGGAAAAGAAACATAATTTTCATTATATGCAATGGTAAGTATCAGGAAAACATAAGAGAATTATCTGTGAAATAATTGGAAGCAATTAGGAAATTAACGAAGTACTTCTAAAAAATATAAACCTGTTAGGAGTAGAATTATGTCACCTAAAAAGATATGTTGAAATCCTATCCTAATCTCTAGTACCTCATAATGGAACTGTTACAGTAAATAGAATCTTTGCAGAAATGATACAGGAAGAAGTAGGGTAGGACAGAGTCTTCATCCAATGTAACTGATGTCCTAATAAAAAGAAAACAAGAAGACACAGGGAAAGGCACATTATGCATAGATTGGCGTTATGTAGCTGCAACCCAAGAGAAGCTGAGAGAAAGGCATGGAACAGATTCTCCCTAGAGCCTTGAGAAGGTGTGACCATGCTGACACCTTGATTTTGAACTTCCAGCCTCCTCGAGTATGACAATAAATTTCTGTTGTTTTTAGTCACTTGCTTTGTGGTACTTTGTTACAGCAGTCCTAGAAAACAAGTACATAGAACCCCAAAATTTTCCTGTATGCAGGTAATAACCAAACATAATTTGTTAGACATTTGGAAGGGTGGGGCAGGGTGGGGGGACTCCACTGAACCAAAGGTAACATTTTAAAAATGACTTGTACTATATATGGAGAAATAACATTATCAAAATGTTGCTTCTTCCTATGTGATTGTGCAAATTGAAAGAAAGTATAACAGGGTTGGGACAAAGGAAAAGTTTGTGGAAATGACTCTCAATCCAATTTTAAATATTTTTAAGCAGACAAGAATATCTGGGAGGGAATAGGAAAAAGAGTAGTGATAGAGGGAAATTTCTTTGCCTAGTATTAAAACTTGTTAAGTTTCAGTAATTCAATGTATGATAAAAGAATAGACAAATAAAATGGAGTCCAAACATACACATTTAAAGAAAAATAATTGGAGACATGTCATTATGCATGTAAATTTATGTGTGTATATATAAATTCAATATAGAAAAGGCTATTTCAGAATCCTGGGGGAGAAGCAGATTATGCAGTAATTGGCTAGCTTTTGGGGGGGTAAAAGTATAACGGTCTCTCACACCAAAATAAATTTCAAATTAGTCAAAGATTTCAATATAAAAAAGGAAAAGCTAGAAGAAACCGTTGGTGAAACTAATTAACAAAGAATTTTTCCATTGATACTATGCAGTAAGATTAAAGAGAAAAAATTGAATCCACTGTTGGCAAGAATATATTAAAGATAATTCTTCACAAACTTAAATGCAACGCAG